ACGGGAATCGTCCTGGGGCATCTGGCGCGGGGACAAAGGTGGACCGGCTTCAGTCATGTTGGCGAAGTAATGATGTTGCCGTGGAGGCATGAGAGTATCGTGGGGGGTTCGATAGCGCGCATGAATTCGATATGTTTCTCAACTTCTTTCTGCATGCTCGAGACTGGGGAGTGTCAGTGTCAGTGCGTGTCACCATAAGGGAAGCGATGATATTGACATACCATCGCGATGTAGAGGGCTTTCCCTATCGGGCACAACAGCTTGAAGAAACCGTGAAATAGAATGCGTCCACTAGGATCAGGTTAGCACCGATACACCCCAAACTAACATAAACGGCGGACATACTTGGTAGCACTTTGTCAGGCTGTCGGTCATAGCATGACATCTCGAGTTCAGTGCGATATTTCCTTCTTCCGCCCGAGCCACACGAGCAAGCAGGTCGTATATGTTGTGCTCCATGTTTTGGAACCTAAGTTCGGTCGCATCAGTTACGGGTTCGGCGGGTGTTCCAGGCTGCGAAGCAGGAGCCTTATGGCTAGGGAATGAATCGCGGTGGATCAAAGCGTGCCTCGAAGCACGGCGCTTGATCTCTCGTAGTCCAGCTAGATCGCCTCTTTTGAAGTTCCCATTGCCATGTTTAAATTCCCAGAGCGCAGAATCCGGGGACCCGGTGTGAAAGACATCGCTCACTAGCAGAATCAAGAACGGTCAGAAATCGCCCAGTCAACGCTGGCATGCGAAACACTCACCTTTGTGAAACCCATACATATTCAGCTGCCGAACGAACGAGGAGATATTGGTATGCTTGAAGTACGATCTGAGAGAGTCAGGGACGAGTTTATTGGCAGAGAGGATAGCACCCACGCTAGGACTTTGGAGAATTCAGACGTTGGCGACATGACGAAGCTGTCGTTTGTACCGGACCAAGAGATGAGATGCTGGATGCCAGGGTCTTCAAGCATACTGTTTCCCAAAATTGTAAGCCGATGGGGACAAAAACGCGCGAAGACCCAAAAAAAAACATACTTGTAGAGCTTGTGAATGAAAGCAGTCTGGACGACTTTTGGCTGCTGAGCTGCCGCCGCAGCGCCAATAGCCGGGTTCGGAGCATTCAAAGAATTGTTTCCAGCTTCAGCGCCATTGGTGATTCCGGTCATCCGGTCGTCAGTGCCATGCGCGCCCGTGGGCGGAGGGGTGATATCCATCGAATGCTGACCAGACGACGACAGGACAGGAATGTTTCGTGTCCTGCCGGGGGCGTCTGGTACCCCGGCAAATGAAATCCTAGTAGAAGGGGGGTCGGCAAGACGACTCATGTCGGAGGGGGTGTTGATTTATATATAGCACAAAATCGATGGTGGATGCGACGGGATCGTGAGGGGTGGAATTCGGACGCGATGGACCGTTTATGCTCGTGCCGAAAGAACGTGGGAGATCAACCAACAATCAACACTTCTGTCATCGCGCAGAAATTGGGTTCTTTTCTCGAAAAATAAAATCAATGTGACCAGGGGGAAAAAGAAGAACCTTGGAAGAGAAGAAGAAAAAGAAGAAAGTCTCGAAGTGTCTGGAAGGTTGAGAGAAAAAGAAGGGCTCTCTGCGGGGAAGGGGGCCGGAAATGCGTTGACAATCGGATCTGCAGATGTGAATTATACAAGTTATACGGAGTACGGATTATGGAGTATGGAGTACAGGGATGAAAGAAAAAAAAAGGTATGGATATATTTACATATATGCTATTTATTATTATATGTGGAAAAAGGGGTCGTAGGGCTATTTACTTTAATTGTCGAATGGCTATCTCTTCCCTATTGGCTTGGATTCGGCCAATTTAATTATCAACTATACATATAATATATAATATATAATTATATATTTAAGTTAAATACATATATCTCTCACAATACAAAGAGTCTTGAGGTATTTAACTCTTATGCATTTGGCATATCTGACTGGAGTTAGACTGTAGTTAACTACAAACGTAGTTAGTAGTACTATTATTATACCTTGAATTACCCCCTAATAACGACTATCATGACTATCACGATATTATTAGCTTAGAAATTCATTGGCCCTCAGACAAAAAACTGTCCGAAATTGGTATTGACTAGATACGCTTTTTCTTGAATACTTCTTGAATTTCTAATCCTTGTCAGGGTATCGACATATCGACATGTCGACATATTTATTCATACAATATTACTTGAAAACGAGCTTGTATTGACTGCAGACGTCCACTAGTCGGTGTCCAGGTGGGTTTTGACAGGGGTTATATAGCTGACTAGTTGATATAGTCTATAGTCATTTCTTCAACGGATTCCCACTTTCTACCTATCAAATCACCAACTTGCAATCGTCATATTAGGGAGACCAGAGGGGCGCCATGTCTCATCAAAGCACCAGATCCAGATTTTCCCATCCGCGGGGAATATAACAAAGTCCCCGTCCCCTAAAGCCGAGGTGCAAAACTGCTCATGTGGAAAAACCACTCTGTGTGAGGGTTCGAACCGACACGCTTTGGCATCGTGGACAAGTGAAGGATCTGAAAATTCAAAGCCAATGCATAATATTGTTTTTCCTGAGAAGTGGGAATTCTCAAAACAGTAAATCAGGCCACGACCCTGGGTCGAATAGTCTAGGTTGACGTGAAGACTCCTGGAGTTCGGCTCTGGGGCGTGGAAATGCACAGTAATCCGATCGTTTGCCTCGAGTGAAAGAGAAAGTGAGCCAGACTCAACCTCATCTCGCAGAGGAGGATCTTCTGTAGGATAAAGAGTCCTCCTGTGAGCTTCAGTCGTACAATTTCCCAGCAAAAAAGAGCTTTGACCGGGGCGCAGACACGCTCTGTACTTTGGTATGGTGTCTCCTGGCGTGTATTTAGACCCCCATAATTCGTCGTGTCTGAAAGGAAGCTCTTGATATTGTTCCCAGATGCAGACAAACGTATTATTATGGATAGCGAACTTCTGGGTCTGCAAATGATGCGCTTCCCATGATAAGCCAGTATATTCCCATAATTTAGTGTTGTTACCATCTTTTCTGCGGACGCAAACGACGGAGAATCCATCCTCCTCTGCATGTAATGACAGCACAAAGATGAACGGCCCGGTTTTGATGGAACGGGCGACTCCAGAGTCAAAGTAGAAGTGGACTACAGAATCCTCGTAGCTCAAGATGACTGTGGATCCGATAGATATGTAATGACCAAATCGCAACGAAGGAATGCGAAAAGACTTGTACTGCTGGTTACGCACGTTCCAGACATGACAATACCTACACTGTCCAGTCAGAAGTGTATTCAACACAGTGGGATTGCCTTCCTGGTTACATACCCCCGAACAGAAGTTGCTGAGATCAAAATGTCCGAGACCTGGACGTGAGTAAACTCTTCTCGATTTGCCGTTGTAAGGGTTCTGTTTTCGCCGGTTGGTAGGTTCACCACGAAGATAGTAGTCCGACCTGTAGATTCTTCAATCCATGCGCATACTCCATTAGAACAGCTTATGGCGTCTCTGTTTGGTGCGTCGTCTATATCGGGAGACGAGTCATAAGGAACTTCAACCACGACAGCAGGCAAGCCCCTTTCCGCTCGAATTCGTTTTTTAATCAGCGCATTCAAATCAGCCGGAGTAAAATCGGGCTTGATGACACTTTTTCCCATGTGATATATGATTGCAGCCGTGATGACGATGGGTGAAGAGAGCAATACATGCCATCGTTTGGAGACCTTTATAATACAAACATGTCAATAGACGTCACAAGTATCCCAACAGACGATGGCATACTCTTCGAAGGAGAACAAGGTCGGCTAGGTCCAAGTACTTTACTAACATAGCCACCAGTTCAAAAGGCAGTTTGCCGAGTAAATCACATTGGAATGTCATCGTTTCGAATCTGCTTTTCACTTCTCGTACCTCATGAGGACTTAGGTTATCAAGGATTTCATTGAGCCTGTTTATATTAGCGGGTTAGAGCCGACTATAAACTTTAGATGTGGGACATACACCGCTCGCCGGCTTGAGTTGTCGCGGAGAGCCATGAAGCCCGCGAGAATGGGTTGGGTGGTTGAGTCCATATTGGATCAAATCAAACGGAAAATTAAGATAAATGAAAATATTTCCAGAGAAATATTGTTAAATGATAGGATTATTTTAGGGGGTCTTTCCAGGATTGCACCTGGGCAATGGGCTGAGGTTGAAGTAAGGTGGTAGCTCTGGAGGTGACCCTCGGGGCTGTGGACTTCAGTACATAAGCGACATCTGGGGGCTCAACATTATACAAACCCCTTAGAACCTCCCACGTTTCTTCTTTTCTTCTTTGTTTTATCCATCATGGAGTTGTTATAGGATTTTATTATTCCTTAAGCTCTGCTAAGCTTTTAAGGAAGCTCAAAGGCCGCGAAGAGGTTTCCATACATGCCATGATCCTAGGACGCTGCCGATGCTCGACCAAACTAATAGACCTACAAGTAGGGAATGTCGCTCATTGGACAGGAAAACTCGAAGAATATACCTAGGCACGGCTGAATCCAAGCTGTTATAACTTCTACTATAGAGATCGGGAAGAAGAGGGATCATCCTCCATTCAATGTATGAGAAGCAGGGTATCTATGCCCTGAATCTGGCAAACAAGCACTCAGGTCTGCAAGCATACAAATCTGCACAATCAGGCATCAGTGGGATGATCTAACACAAGCCATTCTCACTCGAAGCATCTACCCTACATATCATGGACTTTATAAGTTCTTCACACTAAACAATGAGAGATCAATATATCATCTCTCACACATCCCGATTAGGAACTGATCTAGGTCATAGAAACACTCAAGAATACAGTGACAAAAAGAAAATAAATGACACAGGAACAGGCGCAAAAGCATTACAAAGATCTCTCTAAGATGTCACTGCGGCGGTTCGGTTCGGTTCGCTAGCCCCAGGAAAAAGGCAAATGAAAATGCTCCCTACCCTCTCTATCATTATAACCAAAAGAGTGAACACTCTTTAGATGCCGAGGGTGAACTCAACACCGACGTCGATCTCGCGGGCCATCTTGACGACCTTGGAGAACTGGACGGACTTCTCAGCGGCGTTCTGGAGGTCCTCGATGGAGAAGATCTTGAGGCCGGACTCGTTGATCTGGAACCGTAAGGGATTTGGTTAGTTTACATAATAACGAAGAACGGGGGAAACGGGGACTATGATCATACCAGCTTGTGGGCCTGCTCCATGTTGGTACCCTGCAGACGGGCAATGATGGGGGTGCGCAAGTTCATCTCCTGGACGACGTTGATCAAACCCTGGGCAATGGCGTCACAGCGGACGATACCACCGAAGATGTTAACGAAGACGGCGGACACCTTGGGGTCGCTGGTGATCAGCTCGAAGGCGCTCTTGATGGCAGCGGGGGTGGCACCACCGCCGACATCGAGGAAGTTAGCGGGGCTACCGCCGTTAAGCTTGATGATATCCATGGTGGCCATGGCGAGACCGGCACCGTTGACTAAAAGCGAGAATTAGTATTGTGAACTTTGCAAGTGTCAACAGAATCCTTACCGAGGCAGCCGATGTCACCATCGAGCTTGATGAAGTTGAGACCGTGCCTAGAAAAAGGTAAAGGTTAGTCAATTTCGTTTTTGATTCTGCTTTTTTTTTTTTTCCTTTCAAGGCAACATACTCAGCGGCCTTGACCTCATCAGCATCCTCCTGGGAAACATCGCGCCACGAGAAAGCCTCCTTCTGACGGAACTCGGCGTTGTCGTCGAATCCAAGCTTGGCGTCCATGGCCAAGACCTGGTGATCGGAGGTCTCGGACAGGGGGTTGATCTCGAGCTGGGTAGCATCGCGCTCCATGAAGCACTTGTAGAGGTTCTGGATGGTGGACTTGGCCTCCTCGATGCACTGCTCGGAGAATCCAAGGTCGGTGGCGATAGTGCGGGCGATCTCGTCAGTCACACCGACGTGGATATCAATGGGGGTGGTTGTGATGGCGTCGGGGCTCTCCTTGGCGACGGCCTCGATATCCATACCACCCTGGGAGGATGAGACGATGACGGGACCACGGGTGGTACGGTCAAGGAGAACAGCGAGGTAGAATTCACGGCGGGCGAACTTGCGCTCGCAAATGTAGACCGAGTTACAGATACGGCCGGCAGCGCCGGTCTGCTTGGTAACGAGCTTGTGACCGATCATCTGGCCAGCGAACATCTTGGCCTCGGTAGGACTGTAAGGATATCTATCAGCTTCATTGTTCCCGATCTGTTGTCGGATTTGTTCAACTCACGAGTAGATAACGCGGACACCACCCTTGAGACCATTGTCGAACTGACCCTTACCACGGCCACCGGCGAGAACCTGGGCCTTGATAACAAGATCACCACCACCTGAAATGTAATGTTCAGCGAGCGCGTTCAGAGAAGGAAATTAGCAGGGTGTTCTTACCGATGGACTTGGCAATAGCCTCGGCCTCTTCGGCGTTGTTAGCGACCTCACCCTTGGGGACACCGACACCGTACTAGATTGTTGATCAGCGATCCCGAGTTCCTTTTTTTTTCGGGCGACCGAAGGACGCAACGCGGGTTCACGTACCGACTTAAGGAGCCTTGCGGAGAGGTACTCGTGGATGGAAAGGTTTCGCTTCTGCAAAGCGAGTCTGCTCTGGATGGAGGGTTGCTATTGTTTATAACCAAAGTCAGCTCAATCACATAAAACGAGCGCGACCCGGTCGAATTCAGATATAACTCACTGTCGCAGCCTTGAAGGCCGCCGCAACGGGTCTACCGCGAGCAAGCTTGAACATGATGAATTAGGATGAGAGAGGAGAGGGGGAATTTGTAGAAGGGCGGAGGTATAAAGCCCGTTTAGATAGTTGTTAAGGAACCGGGAGAACAGCTTTCTTTTTCACTTGGGGTGACCTTGCGCATTACGGTAAAATCGGGTGCCGTAGCCAACCAGCGATCGTTACTGACCTGACTCAGCATGGGATCGGGGACAACGCGAATATAACGGAACATGGCTATTAAAGTCGGTACTTCTCTCTACATATTTATATCGTTTGTTTTTATACTTACATATACATATACATAGAGATGTATATATCTTTTTAAATATTAGATTTTGTCCCAATCTGGTTCTGTATTACTACAGACGTGTATATACACCTCAACCCCTGCCGGGGGCATTTTTAATCTTCCATAGTTTGAACATTTTAGTCATAACCCGACCAAACAGCCCTGACCAAGCCCAACCACCCGACAGCATCCAGATCAACCAGCTAGCACGGCCCTCCCAGATCCAGTTCTTACCACCACGAGCCCACGGCCACAACCAGCGCCATGGAGCTGAGCCATACAACACTTGAGAAACGACACTGCGAGCATAGGCATCATTGGGCATAGCATTATGCTGGCTATGCTTCACACGGGTAAGATACTCGCTCTCGATAGGGGAATACAAAGAACCCGGCTGCAGAGAACGGTCGGTACGCGCAATACGCGATTGAACACCGCCAGTAACGATGGTTGTGACATGAACGCTATTGATCCTTGTTAGAAAACACAAAATAACCATCTTGAAATTTGGGGGCCTGTATTTAACGAACCCGAATGGAGCCAGCTCCACGCGAAGCGTGTCACTGAACGAGTGCAGTGCAGCTTTGGAGGCGTTGTAGACAGAGCCGAATACATATGGGATGATCTAGTTATTGTCAATAAGATGGGATCTGTGAAGATGGAATTGCTCTCAAACTTACTCCGGCAACAGATCCAATCTGCACAATAGTACCCTTTGCCTTGATAAGCAGGGGCAGGAAAGTCTGGCACATAGTAATAACCGCGAAAAGGTTGGTCTCAAACGTTTGGCGAACCTCTGCGAGCTCTACTTCCATGGCAGGGACGGTGTAATCTGCAACAATCAGTACCTATTCCAAATGATTGACGCCAGAAGCCGCGACAGCGAAGTTACATACTCCGACCACTATTAGATATTAGCCAGATGAACCATCCACGGATGACATTTCAAACGATACTCACGCGTTATTAACGAGATAGTCAAGACCTTTGTCTCCGAGTCTCTTTTCGACTTCCGCAAAACACAACTTCACGTTCTCCGGGTCATCGACTGTAAGGCTCAAGGTTTCAATACCGAGGTCTGCCAGATCAGAGATAGTCGCCGCATCGCGAGCGGTAGCCAGTACGCGCAGTCCATTTCGGTTAAACTCGCGCGCAAGGGAGTTGCCAATTCCACCGGGGGAGCATCTACGGTAGATATCAGAGACTGTTGTTGGTATCTATCCGAGGTTGCTTATCACTTACCCCGTGATGAGCACCGATCGACGAGTGTCTGTCGTTTCCGACATGGTTCAGGTAGAATATAATAGACTATAACAGATTTATAGGTTTGGAAGAAAAAAAAGATCCACGATGTGATGGAACAGCTGGCGATGGTAACTACAACATCTGCTAGACAGGTGGAGACCAAGCAACTGCCTCGGCCCTCCCAGTTTCACGGGCATAGCAATGAGCCCTAAGCCCTATTGCCTGTTTTGTCTTTATAGTATAAAAAGTGGCTTGGATAAATGAATTGGATTGCACGTTAACAAATCGGAGGATAGGTTGAAGTAGATTGCTCCACCTACAATAAAGCTTAGGACTTTGCACCATCTCGAACACATTCCCGATATTCCCGAGAATCCACGTACCTAGTGGTCTACACTGTTCACCCATCAAGACAACCAAATGGAGACAGTGGAAAACAGGAACATTGTTCAAACATGATTAGTTCCTATATATAAGCAATTAAACTAAACCGTCCAGTGGCCCCAGATGCGTGCCGATTCTCAGAGCCGAACTGAACAAGTAAGACCATCCGTGCCGGATAACCGATATTTGATATGTATTCGATGGGCGACGGTGGGATTTAACGACGCTGAGGGCATCAAAGCGCCCAAAACCCCCAGCTATTCACAGTGTTTTATGTATTGGAATATCAGCAATCTATTCGCCATTGCCACTGGTAGATTTCTTGCCATCGGTCCCCACATTAATCCCCGTCGATCCGCGACCCAACGTCCTGTCTGTTATTCTCTACAGAGCTCTCCAGCCGCTATCGCTATTGATCAAAGGGCTTCAACAGAGATCCAAAATTGTATATTATTTTTTCCTATGCTAGCATCTTAGCCTTTTGTGGTATCACGTCTTACCACCGCCCATGTCATCATCCGCAAGCAAGCAACACAATAGATATCCCGAACGAGAGGGGAAAAGCTCACACTGCCCACCCTTGTATTCAACCTCGTGTGCACTCACTGGGTCAAATCGCAGCATCCAGTGATGGCCCCTGAATCCGATTTACCCCGGCATATGCGAATTCCCGGCGAAGACGGGTACCGAACTCCAACGATAGAAGATGCCGAGCGGGCGCTCTCGGTCCTCGGAACCGTTGAAGAAAGTCCCAGTGGTGGGATTCGCGAGGCTCATTCATCTGCCTTAGATGCTGCACTGCAGCGAGCCTCTTCGCGGGCTACTGTGAAAACCAAGCCGGATAAGGAATCCACTGCATGCCGAGAGTATAACGGACTGGGCCTGTTTGGGCTCAAGCGCACTGTTTCTGGGGAGCTGAGCTGGAAGAAGCGCATTCGTCATGTTACGTGGGCATATTTTACGTTGACTATGGCTACTGGTGGGCTAGCTAATGTCTTGTATCAAGGTCTGCATAGTCGATCTCATTCTGTTCGGTGGAACATGGCTAACAGGGGACTAGTTCCATTTCGGTTTAAGGGCTTGGATACGATTGGGGTCGTTGTCTTCCTGGTTAATATCGCTTTGTATCTGTTCATCTGGGCTCTCTTGTTTGTTCGGTTCTATCATTATCCATATACGTTCAAGGCATCGTTCAAGCACCCAACAGAGTCTCTCTTCGTGCCCGCATCGATAGTATCCTTCGGCACAATCCTAATCAACGTATCGCAATACGGGCCCGAGAACACGGGTCCGTGGTTGATGCGCGCAGTCTGTATTCTGTTTTGGATCGATGCCACTCTAGCTGTGATGTTCTCGGCTGGAATCTATCTCCTCCTTTGGTCGACGCAGACATTCACCATCGCGCAGATGACTCCTATCTGGATTTTCCCTGCTTACCCGATGCTGATCATTGGCCCACATGCAGGGATCCTCAGTGCAAAGCTGGAACCGTCGCAGTCTTTGCCGGTTATCATTGGCGGCACGACTATCCAGGGAGTTGGTTTTTTGGTTTCATTGATGGTTTACTCGGCCTTCATCTACCGACTGATGACGCAGAAGCTGCCGAGGGAAAATATCCGTCCTGGTATGTTTGTTTCTGTGGGACCAAGTGGATTTACGGTTGCGGGGCTGGTGAATATGGCGGCTGGGGCGAAGAGGTCGTTTCCGGCCGATTTTATGGGCAATGGGGAGCTGGCTGCCGATGTGTTGAAGATTGTTACTGATTTTTCGTGTCTTTGGCTTTGGGGGTATGTTCGGCTTTTTGGTTGTTTCTATCTACTCGGCTAACTCTTGTCTAGGTTGGCCATCTTTTTCTTCATCATTGCAAGCGCAGCCCATTGGTCGGCGATTGGACATGGTCGCATGGTCTTCTCAATGACCTGGTTCTCGTTTGTCTTCCCTAATACTGCCTTGATTACTGCTACTTTTGCTATTGGCAAGGCATTCTCCTGCAAGCCTATTGAAATTGTTGGGTGTGTGGCGATACTACCGTTGGTGTTGATGTACTTTTTTGTGTGCTATATGATGATTCGAGCCATTTTGACGCGACAAATCCTGTGGCCCCAGAAAGGCGAGGATAGAGATGAGGGTGGATTTGAGATTCTTCGGGTTAAACCTGTGGCTGCGGCAGAGGTTTTAGGGCATACATAGATAGGTGCACAATATATATATATGGACAACACTTATTATATATCCATGTGTGTTCTATATAAAACCCACAAAACCCTAACACTTCGAAAGAAAACATAAGTTATTATAATGTCTATATAGCATAAATTCCAATACCACCTACACAAAACAAAAATTAATAAAATAAAACGAAGATATATTATACTCCGTATATAACTAGCAAAAAAAAAACAAAAGCAAAAAAGAATGGACCCGCCGGGAATTGAACCCGGGACCCCCGCAAGTCACTGTTGTAGTGCGAAGCGGGTATTATACCCCTAAACCACAGGCCCATTTGATGAAAGATTGCGCTTTTATTTGTTATTCGACGACATAGAATATAAGCTGCATACACCTTGGGCATTGTATGAAGAAGGAGATATCACAAGTCATAACCGAAATATGTTCAAATGAGAATGAGTTGATATGTACTATAATTTGCCATAACCTAGATAAATATATGAAACACTACTATTTCACAAAGAGCTAATGTATATTTGGAATTCTATGGCAAGATCTTACCAAGCCCTAGAGTATATAGATTGTTTCTTCCCCACCTCTCTGCATCTAAACCCATCTAAACATGGGAAGGGACTGAGAACCTTGGAGCGGTAGACCGATGATCTTATTAAAATCATATTCCTGGAAGGTGCAACGTCCCCAGCGAGTATAACCCCCCTCGCCCCCCTGGAGCTCCTGCCCCGTCAATGTACGGATCATGGACACCATTCTTCCTGCGGCCAAATTTCACTTGGCCTCAACCGATGCAGTTAACAATATGTCAAACGACACCTGAAACCCCAGCTCTTCCGTGCAAAACGAGACGCAGAGTGTATGGTCTATTCCATGAGATACTGTATCAATTTTCCAGCTGGTTATATTCATGGTTCAACACACCATTCAATTCAAGCATTGTACGATTGCCATTTGGATTGGTCTTAAAGTAGACAGATCGAACGAGTCCAGAGGAAGCCACCGCGATGCAAATGGCGCGAGCTGCTGGAATGCCTGTTACTAAAGTTTTATCTTGCGGGGAGCACATTTTATCAATATTGATGACAAGATTACCCGAAACACCACTTGAGAACTCATTCGACCCTTTACAGGTTGAACTAGAACAACCGTGGCTCTTCGAGCTGAAAGAATGTGTCACCTCTATGCGTACTTGGTCCTCGCCTTATACCCCAAACTAAAATATTTGCTCTGTTTTGGGTACCTCGTTACGAAGCACAAGAGTGCCTAACTATATAATGGGTCCGCTTACAGATGAAGAAGAACTTCACAATTCTCTCTTAAGCCCTGCCTCTGGATATGGCTTCGATTCAGCTGCAGAGTATACCCAAGCTTTAACACAGGCAAATATAATTCGCAAATACCCCCATCGGATTACTTTCACACATAGTGACTTCAAGGCTCATAATATTATCCTCGGAGATGATGGCCATCTATCTGGTTTTCTTGATTGGGAATCTGCGGGGTGGTATCCTGAATATTGGGATTTTACGACTGCAATGAGATATGGAAAGAACAGCTGGTGGTATCAGGTGGCTTTGTGGATTGGTGGGGACCAGTACGATGGGGAGTTGGCCTGTGATATTGCGCTCAACTCATTGACAGTTGACTCATATGTAGCTTTCTGACGAGTGATTGATCTCAGAGTGTGTTATTTTCTCTGTTAATAACTCCATATGGTGATACAATAGATACAGGGAAACTAGACGGCATTTCACCGGGTAATGGGGATGAATAGTCACCGACCTTGCCGTAAGATTCATCTAGCACACCCAGGTCGAGATGAACCAGGGCAGAGGTATAGTGGAAGACAAAGAGTTTTGTATCCTAAAAACGTTATCTGCCGTTATAGTCTACAAAGCTACATAAATTACCACAGAAATTTAGAGAAATCGAACAATAAATTATACAAAAGTCAGTCGGGGTATCGAACTAATATGTAAAGAAAGAAAAAAAAAATAAACAAAGAAACAAAGATCATGCCTGCCATTTAAGCATCCTCCATCACGGCATCCTTTGCCGTGATCACAGGAGAACTGCCGGCGGAAGCAGCCGAGCTTCCGCCGGAGTTACTCCCACGCTTCTTCTTCCCCTTCTTGGGGGACTTTGAGCTTTGACCACGGCGGTGGTGGTCAACCGCACCGCCGGACAACTTGCGGCCACGACCGGGCTCCCGCGACGGCATGTTGAGAATTATCCGGGGGCCGCCCTTGACTCCCCCCACGGAAGTTGGAATCTGTGGGACTGGGGGAAGGTTCAAGGGGCTGACACCCCGGTGTGGAGTTTCCGCGCGCGTCATACTGGTGCTCTTCCGACGGGAGGCACCCACAGACGGGGAGGCCTCGCGCGCGGCAGCAGGGAGGGTCGTGGCCGCAGTGGTAGTCTTTGGGGTTTTCAGGCCCTTGCGGGCCTGGCGTCGTGGGGTGGCAGGGCGAGGGGTGGTGGGCACGGGGGTTGGCTCCTTGGGCTTGCGCGCGCGCAGCTGGCGCCCCTTCTCGGCGGGGAGGATGAGGCCGAGACCCCCATCCTGAGCGCTCTGCTCTCGTCGCTGGCGGTTCAGCTCCGCCGGCCGGCAGCTCAGGGTCTGGCGGCCATCGGGAATAATGAGCTTCGAGAGCTCCCCGGTGGCCACCGCCCAGCTCACTTCCGGCAAAGGGGCGGCGACGATGTTGGCATCGAGGTCCCCGGTGGACCTGCGGTCTCTTCCGGGGGCGACAACCTTTGCTGCAAAGGACTTGGTGGCTGTCAGGTAGGTGGCGGCACTCTTTTTGCGCCCTTTGCTGGGTGTTGGAGCCATGATGGCATCCAATTCTCTCAGATTATCCTGAGACCACCACTCACTTTTGAACTCTGAGTTCTCACTCAGACCTGACAGATGGCTGAGCACACCAGAGGACAACGCGCGGTCACTGTAGCCGCCCTCGAGAACGCTAATGACGCGCCCTTCCACCCCGAGGCCTTCCTCTTGTGACATGCAGATGACATCCGCAGTGAACTTGGCGTAGAACTCAGTTGGCACCTTCACGCTGTGGCGTTGCATGCCATTGCCTTCCCACTCGCTGGCATCAAACCCAGCAGAGATAAAGATTGCCGCTTTGGGAAGTGGAGCATTCGGGTTCTCCTTTCGTTCTTGGTTGAGTTCTGTCGTGCGCTCGCGAAGAAATGAGCGGGCTTTGGTGAGTAATGCGTTGTATTTGGTCTCGTACAATTTCCAGAACTCATCAAGATCGGCCCACTGTTGGAGATGAATGTTCCAGATGGACTGATTGTGTGCTTCGACGCACAGGCTGGCACCCATGACTTTGTCACGCTCGCCATTCTCGCAAGGGAAGGAGTTCACATCATGCAAGCTGTAGTAGCCAATTGCTGCTTTGGTATATAGGGGTGCGTCTTCATATTCCTTGAATTTCGTGGCATCGGCTCTGGCCAAGTCGGCCTTTTGTGTTTTGTTGAGTAATTTGGAGTTATGATCGTATGCGATGTCCTGAGACCCATCGCCATGGTGAAGATCGAAGTCAAGGATCGCAGCGTGGGTGAGACCGTGGGTTGTAGCTGCATGGGAAATTCCGACATGAACGTTGTTGATCCAGCAAAAGCCGGATGGGAAGTTAGCTGAACAATGGTGACCGGGAGGTCGAATGCAGACGAATGCACGCTGGATTGGACCAGACTTGAAAACAAGATCCACTCCCTCGCAGACGCCCCCCAGGGCTCCTTGGAAGGCATTCACAGACTCCGAGCATAAGTAGAGGTCGTTGGCATTCAGGGCGGGACCACTTGTCCCGAGGCTGTCGTCTTCTTCTGTCCGTTGTCTAGCAAGTTCGTTTCCATCCATGATGAGTCGCGACTCTGCAAGATCCCCCATCCATTTCAATTCTGACATCCATTGGGTACCATGAACATCCGTAACAGCAGGACTAGACAGATGCACCTTGCGATCGGTCTTGATAATTTGAAAAGGGGCATCAATCTCGTTGAAGCTCGAACTTAGTTTTGATGCGATATCTGCCGCATATCGAGAGCCGAGGAGAACATAAGCTGCAGAGATGCCCACAGCGCAGGCGCGGATGCGCTCTGGTCTTTCGACAATTCTCTCGAGAGTTCGCTTTGATGCTTCAAGTTGGGAGTAACGATGGCCATAGCAGTCGTCGTGAACAACAACAGCAGTTTTAGTGTTGACATTACCAGATTGGTGTAATGCAAACTCCTTGGAGAAGTGCTCAGCGGCGATAGACGAAGCAGTCGGAATTGGAGCTTCTGGGGCCGGGCTAAAGACAAGGCGTGCGGGGTGCATCGCGGGTGATGTTGCGATGGGTTGAGACCCCGCAGAGGTGAATGATGTGCGGCGTAAAGGATCAGGAGTTGGAGAAGAAGATTTGAGCGGTTGCGATACGGAACGAAGAGACGCAGTGGACTTGCGCTTTTGGAGTGGTGCAATTGACTTGCGTCGTTCCTCTCGATCAGAGACAGAACCAGCTGTTTGTGAGACAGATTGCACAGGTTGCTTTGATTGTAACGAAACAGTCTCAACAGATTGACCTGACTGTAAAGAGACAGGTTGGGTGGGCTGTAGAGGAATAGCAGGTACAGGTCGAGTGGGTTGAACAGATATAGGGGGAAGATAGGATGGAACAGGAGAGAGACGAGGCGATGAAGGCAATGGAGACTCTGTCGCCAGAGTCAGGCGATTCAGAGAATCGACCAATTCAGAATGCGTCTCATCGATATTGTTGTTCTTGACACCATTGTCTATGAATAGTGGCGGGCCCTCCTGACTGGAGGGGTGTTTGTATTCCATCTTGCAGATACCGACTCTGCTACAAAGGGCCAATACACGATGTCTCTTCTCATTCAATAAGAAATCAAAGGCGAAAGATGATAGGTCGAGGTTCGTTGAATAGGCAAGGGGAAACAAAAGAAACAAAGAGACAAAGGAAGGGTGGGGATTCACATGTTTGGGTTAAGCCACATGGGGCAAGGGTTCGGTCGATCACCAGACCATAGAACAACGACATGCGAACATTCTTATATTTCTACAGCTATTTCTATTGTTTCTATTGTTTAAATATGTATGAATTTAATGATCTTCTTTGATCTCATTGTTTTAGGTACATCATTTTATTCATAGCTTTTGTAACAATCCACAACCATGCTTCATGCTCTCTCTGCGTCTACTAGACCTCGTCTCTCATATAAAATAAGAATAAAAAGAATTCAATAAAGACAAGAATCGAATTTCATGCAGATCATCTAGATCATTGCATCCACGTGATGGAACACTGTAAACCCGCAGAATTCCATTTCCCCAAGATCTAAACCAAGACCCCGAATCCCGAACACCAAAGCTGTAAAAAAGACAAGACAGAGAATAGTGTAAAAAAATAGTCAAATGTAAATGTCGTCACTAACGCGACCGCAGACCCCGCCATTGATACCACTGATACCAACGACGCCCGAAAGAATCTTTTTCACCAAGGGAATCTTCAGATCGGCGGCGCACCTTATGCTCCTTCTTGCGGGTCTCCTTCTCGGACTTGAAGCCACGTGTGGCGTGCGAGTTGCAGAAGCAGTGCATATGCACGGTCTCAATGCTGACGCCTGGGCAACCATTCCGGCGGTGAGCGGCGCAGACATTGTTGCCGGCATCTTCTTCGCATTGGCACCATTCGTATAGTGTGAAGTATTGGCGGCACATGGTTGCCTTTGTTGTATGCTTTTCTTCAAAGTGGTAGTTGACTGTTGACTGCTGCGGGGTGTCCCACAGGTACCCGCAGTGCGTTTTGGTAGTCGAATAGTAATAGGTGCTGGACGATGGTATGGATCTCGAGGTGGTTTCAGAATACGTCGAGCAGAGTGAATGTGAGATGGATATTGATGATGGTGTATTGGCAACGAAATGAGGATTTCAAATGCCCAATATTGTACCGGAGTAGCTAATAGAGCCTAATCGGAAATTTCGGGAAAGTATGCTTTGTAGCTGATGATGTCGAGATGCTCGGAGATTTGAAAGGCTTGTTCAGACCAGCTGAAATGAGACGTGATGAGATGGGGAGAGTTGAAGTTGAAGATGTTAGGGATCAGCAGGAAAAAGAATCTGATATAGAGGAGGGTAGACGAGAAGGTCTTTAAATTCTTCTAGGCTGCCTCATGTAATGATGAGTAAATAGTCATTGACCGTGTCTATGAATGGAACCACGGCTATTGATTGGAGCTGACGTCAAAGAAACCTTTTTGATTATTATGCCCAGGTGGTCCACAAGTATTATTATAATCATATTATTACTCTGTGGGCTTATATATCTCATTAGTGGGCTTATACCTTGCCTAGACCTTACCCCATCCGTCGGCTGAGAGCTACAGGTTACATCTGACACCAAGTCGTATTCTCGCCGAGGGATGGGGCTTGGTACCACTAATTTTTGCCTTTGGAGAGGTATAGTCTAGAATTATGTCGACTAGCCACTCTTAATTAACCATTTAGGCAGCAAACTTGGCGCCCTGATGGGGACAGGGGGTCACAAGGTGAGGTAATGAAAATGGGATTGGCCTTTGAAGAAAGCGAGACCGAAAAAAAAAACCAAGGCGGTTATTGTCTTGTTTCAACAGGCTTAACAAAGGCAGTGCCAGAAATAAAATCATGCAGAAACATTAAAAATAGAGATCAAAATCCTGCATCAAAGGAGGTAGTTTGAAACTTCACGGCGACAAAGTTGATCGACAAGAACACCCGAGAGCCAGTCAGCCCTGACAGGTTGAGACGAACTGGGGGATCCGCCCATACCCGGCGCTCCGCAGGGGTCTCTTTTCCGAGCATGCAGATCCGCGATTGGAGCAAAGGTCTGTCTGGCTTGCCGCCAGGATCTCACATCGGGATATCCTGCCGGATGACTTGTCTCGTCTAGCGCCGAAGGAAAAAAAATTAGAGTTTGAATGTCATTGAGATTCTTCAGTAAATCGAGATAGATGACCTCACCGTCAATCGTCAAGGACGCAAACGGAAAAGTGAAATAAAGTGTGAGGCGCATGGCCTGTGGCGGTGCAGCATGGTCACGTGTGTCGGAACACCTTCCGAGGAAATTGGTGCCTGAGGCTCTCATAGAAAGCACACCTTCTATCCATAGCTCGGATTTAATTTACATCAACTCAATTGATTGAACATATCATTGCAATCCACACCTAAACTCATACTTAATCCCCAAACTCGCAATACCGAGTTCTCAAAAAGGACCACACCACCCCAACGAATCGATCAATATCAATAATCACAATCACAATCGCCACAAACACCAACAACAACCCCACCTTACCTGAAATGACAACCAACACACCGTCCGAGACTCCAACGATGACCCCGGCAACACCAGCACGTGCCAGTGCACTCCTCTCAAACCTAACAGCTGTGCGCGCGCGAGTGAACACAGCCGCCCTCCAATCCCCAATTCCCAGCAAACCAATCCGACTTGTCGCGGTCTCCAAGCTCAAGCCCGCATCCGACGCACTGGCACTGCACCAAGCCCCAGGATCGCAACTCCACTTCGGTGAGAACTACCTTCAAGAACTACTCGAGAAATCGCGCCTGCTACCTGCAAGCATTAAATGGCATTTCATCGGCGGGCTGCAGAGCAACAAATGTGTGACGCTTGCGCGGGACGTGCGCGGGCTGTGGGCTGTGGAGAGTGTGGACTCGGAGAAGAAGGCGAAGTTGCTAGATAAGGGATGGGGTGAGAGGGGTCCTGAGATGGCGGCTACGAACCATGACGAGGATGGGAGGTTGCGCATCTATGTTCAGATTAATACGTCTGGCGAGGAGAATAAGGCTGGTGTTGAGCCCGCTGGGGCGGCAGCGCTTTGTCGATATGTTCGGGAACAGTGTCCCCGGCTTAAGTTGCAGGGTTTCATGACTATCGGGGCTATTGCGAGATCGCGGATGACGACGGTGGAGAATGAGAATGAGGATTTTATTTGTTTGAAGGAGACGAGGGATCGAGTTGTTAAGGAGCTTGGGTTGGTTGGGGATGAGGCTGAGTTGGAGCTTAGTATGGGCATGAGCTCTGATTTCGAGGGGGCGATTGCTCTGGGTAGTGATCAGGTTAGGGTTGGGACTACGATCTTTGGGGATCGGCCGCCGAAGGCGGAGGCGAGTGTTGTTTGAGTTTACGGGCTGGGGTGGTTATGAGTTACGATTTCGTGGAGACTACATGTAGACTTTTAAAAAGTTGGGCTTCTCTAGTGGTTATCACCACCGAGAATGTTGATCATTAGGTGTACCGTATGTATAACACTTCTATTTGTTGCTTTACTGCCAAGGTTATACACAAAGAGATGTGATGTTCCACCAGGAACACTTGCTAATATTTTACTTGGTAAACCAATTAGAGATATACATGAATGCTTCCATATGACCTGCAGACGCCCTAATCGAAGGCTTCGTCTGCTCTCATGCCCTGCGCCAGCCTCACCTCCATCTGTCTGACCAGTGACTGCGGGACCTCTTCTTGAGTGGCACGAATAGTGACGCGATACATCTGAACAATAGAGTTAGCAAGATGAAATGAGTTGGAGTAGTTCTAGTGCATACCTTTTTCTCGTAGTTGGGCTCCAGCCGCAGCAGACAGCCCGTCTTACCACCCTCGAATTGGTACACGGCACATCCAACAATGTTTTGAGAGTTTGGATCGACACCTTCCAAAATCTTGAATGCGAATCCCTCGACAATCTTCCGAGTGAATCTCTCGTTGATGGTCTTGTTCTTACTCAGCAAGCCAAAGGTCTTCTGGGATTCCAGCGGGCCACCGCCAATCTGGCGCCATCGCTTGAAGAATTCATCCGCTGATAGAGACGAGGATTCCATGTAGCGGTGCATCAGCACAGGCAGCTGGAGTGTGTAGGCCTGGAGAGCACCGGCCAAGTATGAGATACGGATGGTAGGTGCAGCCGTGAAGGGGCCATGGGCGGTGCAGAACAGAGTCTGCTGTGTCTGCCCGGCGGCCGGGATTGTTGGTTCGGGTAGGTTCTTTGTGTCGATCTTCAATTGAGGAGAGGCCGGGTTGTCGATGGTGGTTGTCAGAGAGCCAATGGGGTACGTGGACTTGTTGGAGATGTAGATCTTCACGACACCCATAGGACCGCGGTACTCCGAGCGCAGTCCGACCTGGATCTGTGCGTCTTCGAAAAGCACACCCTCGCGCAAGAAGAACAGTCGGTTGTAGCCGATGTCCCATTCTGGAGTCAGATGAGCGGCGCTGGCCATGTTGGGAGCTGGGGCTGATGGACCGCTGAGATCCAGGCCTGCCAAGTCGCCCGATGCACTGGCCGCATTGGACGCGGTTGCCGGGCTGGCTGGAGTACTGCCGGACCCAGTGCGCGTGCCATGAACGATTGTCGTGAAAGTGCGTTTGAGACCGGTGTTCTGTGCCAAGAGCATTTCCTGCTTGTCCGCATTCGCGTCCTTGCCACCGATAACCCAGGTCTTCTTCTCACTTGCACCGGCCGTCTTCTGGTGTAGCCGGGAAAGGAGGATGGAGGTTCGCTCCGAGAATGGCGGCATCTCATCACAGACTGTTCGCAGCAGATCGTCGGTCGGGAGAGTCGCCAGCGACAGGTACTCAAATGCTCGCTGCTGCAGTTCGGAATCGGGAGAATGGCTGTACAGGCGGAAGATTTGCAAGAGCTGAGGTTTGATTTCGGGGAACAGATTCACGAACTTGACAAACGACGAGAGGATCATGGCCCGCGCGTTGTCGGAACTGGAGAACATCTTGGCCTGCAGGGCCAGGAATTGCTCAATGGGGCTCGAGC